CCACCCTAGGTGAGTTGAGTCAGAGAAGCAGTCTGGAAGATCATCAGGCAACTCAAACTCGTCAGAGTCTGGGATACGTTGAATTTCTGGCTCCTAAATTCACGCTCTGTTCACTTCCTAAAATAATGCTCGGCATATGGTCAATAATTAATGAAAGAATACTTGAGAAATTCTACTTGGCACTTCTTTAATTCCATCTGAGAGGAAGCAAGCATTTCCAAGAAGCTAGAACACACTACAAATGAGTGGCTTAGCCCGACAGAAGCATGCTGAAAGCAAGCAAATAAACAATTCCAGGCAACCACCCTCAGCACTGCCAAGTGGGCAAGTGGGACAGATGGGCATAGTAACTCCTTCCTCCCTTCCTTCCCTCAGGGTCCTCCCTCCCTTCCTCACTGGTGCTCCCCTCCCCTTTATTCTTAGGAGCACTATGGCCTTGTGTTGGGTTCTTCATCATACACAAGGAAATGTCACATGGGGTATCTGCCTCTTCGAACTCCATTCTTAAGACCCAAATTGAAGGCAAGATACAGTGTGGGGAGGGGAGTTGCTACATAATCAGTCTTAACCTTTTAACATGATTCTTTTATTTTCTGCATGTATGTATTTATGCGTATACATGTGTGGTGTGTGTGTGGGTATGTGCACACATGTGTGCAGAGGACAAAAGTGCACGCGGATGTCTTCCTCAATCACTGTCCACCTTATTTCCTAGGACAGGGTCTCTCACTGATTCACTAATTTAACCAGACTGGCTGACCTGTGAGCTCCAAGGACCCTCCTGCCCCACCTCCTCAGCACTGGGTTTCATAGGCTTGCTTGCACAACCAACACCTAATTGACCTACGTCTTACCTTTAGATGGCTAAAGTGACCTGATTTACTTCTTTTCGTTGAGACATTACCAAGTCCAAAGTCTGGATCTTTATTCGATTATTTTCTTTCTATGTTTCTTTCTACCCTAACACATCAGGGTAACAGGGAGCTCAAAGCACCCATTTTCAATCTCCTCCTTCCGCTCAATCTGATATACTACTTGAAAATAAAAAGGGCCAGGAGTTGGCAGATATTTGTGAGTTATTGGAGTTCTGCTGAAGTATTATTATGGGACCAGCCATGGTAGGATTTATGTGTAATACAATTACCGTTCTGCCGAGTACTTACACAGTGCTTCACAACAAATCCACTGGGTCATAACCCCACCCCCACTTAATGAGTAAGGAAATCTGAGGTTGTCTAAAGTTGAATAACTTGCCCAGGAACTAGCCAAGAGAGAATGACAGAGCACACCTGTCTGATTTCAAAGTTCCTTAAACCACTGAGCAAACAGAGAGCCTCACTGGTTGGTAAACGGTACACTCAGTGTGTACGCAGAGACTTACTCTTTCTAGAGCTAATGGGAGGCTCAAGTAAGATTAAAGGTGATGGAGTGTTTAGAAAAGGGACATTCTATAAAACACAAGGTATAATTTGGTACACTAAGTTCAGATCCAATGAAAAAAGCTTTAGTTCTCTATAAATGGTAACTACACTGGTGAAACACTCATCCTTAGCGTGAAATATATTCCAGCTAAGTTGCCGGGCCTTTTTCATTTACCAAATTCATAAATACCAAGTGTTTTACAAGTTTTACTCTTGATGTTAGTAAGGATGCTATGTAATGATGTATTTGTGCTGGGAGCACAGGTTGGTCCCACCTTTTAAATTTGAATTATATGTGATGAGGTCTCCTGCTATAGCCCAGGCTGGCCTGGACTTCACTCTGTATACTAGGCTAATTTCAAATGTGAAACATGCTTTGTGTCTCAATCTCCTGAGTGTCAGGATTACAGGCAGGACACCCCGAAGCCAGTTAGACCACATTTAGACAAACAAACAAACTGCGTGCTGGGGAGACGGTTTCGTGGTTAAAACACTTGTAAACCACCCACCCTTAGCTTGGGGGCCCACCCACAATGCCAGCAAGTAGAAGGTGGAGACAGGGGATCTCCAGAGAAAGCTGGCTAACCAGACTAACTGCTTCCTAAACCTTGGATTCGGTTGAGAGACTTGTTTCAATGAAAAACCGTGGACAGAAATCCATTAGGATCCCCAATGTCAGCCTCAGGCTTCCACATGCATGTGCACCGGCATTGCACACATATGTGTTCACACAGAAAGAAACACACATATTCTCATGCATACCACACACATACTCCTGAGGGAGAAAAGAGCTAATGGACGGTGAGTTTCAAGACTTTCTTGAGCTGGGTGTATGGCTCATTGGTAGAATGCTTGCCTGGCACAAGCAAGGCTCTGGATTTGACCCCCAGCACAGGGGGCCGGGTGGAGGAGATTTGCTTTAAAATTAACAAATTTTCCTAGACAGAAAAATAAATAAGAACAAAAAAATAAATATGAATAATGCAAGAGATTAAGAATAATGAAGAGATTCTGGAGACAGAATCTCTTGCACGGGTTCAAATACAAGCCTTGTAACTTGGCAAGTCTCTTAGTATGCTGTGACGGAATAGAAATAGCCTTGATAGACTCGTGTGTGAATGCTTGGCCCATGGGGGTGGCACTCTTACAAGGTGTGGCCTTTTTGGAAGAAGTGTGTCACTGTGGAGGCAGGCTTTGAGGTCGCATATATGCTCAAGCTCCGCCCAGTGGGGAATGTAGACTCCCCCGGGTTGCCTTCAGATCAAGATAAAAGGATCAAGTCAGGCTCCTTGACTCTGCCTTCAGCAGCCTGACTACCTACATTGCCATCATGTTTCCCACCATGATGATAATAGACTAAACCTCTGAAACTGTAAGCCAGCATCAATTAGACCTTTTACTTTACAAGAGTTGCCATGGTCATGGCACCTCTTCACAGCAATAGAACCCCTAAGACACATGATATTCAAAATTGGAGTAACTACACATTTCACTAGACTGTTATGAAGGTTAAATGAATTATATGCAAAGTGTTTAATCCAGCGCCTGGCACGTTGTAAGCACCAGGTATGTGATACCTAGTATTATTCACCTCATTTAGTATTATCTATAATAGTGTATAATGTAATATAAAAACCTGTCTGGATACAAAAACAACTTGCTTTGTACCTTAAGGCACACACATACAATAGACTATTATATAGCCATGAAAATAAGGCAGAGGGGCCCATCTCAGCTGTAGAGCCCTTGCCTGCATGGATCCCCAGGTTCAATCCCCAGAACTGCAAGAGGGAAGCAGTAAAAGAATATTTAATCTCATGAAACATGAACGTTTAAAAAGAAGGAAACAAATTGTAAACATTGTCCCGTACCACTTATATTTGTTAAGCAGAAATACAAACTTTGGAGTCTCCAGGTGCTTCTATGTATAAGTCGGGTTTTTTTTTTGTTGTTGTTGACAGTTTTCTGTTCTTTCCTAAACTTCTAGTGCAGAACAGCAGGTGTTTCTGATAGCCATACTATTGCTGTCAATCTTGTTAAAGTGCGACTTCTGGGTCAGTGGGCTGGCAATCTTGCACATGGAGCACTTCCCACGGGCTCATCAGTGATGCTGATACTGCCAGTCCAAGGCCTGAGTAGGAAGCTTTTCCAGCAGTCTCTACGCTTGTCTTGGAGCTCCGGAAGCACGGGCTGCTGGATCCGAGGCTGAGGTTCTGATTTAGACAGTCTGGATTATGACCTTAGAGTCTGCATATAATAATTTCCAGAAGATGTTGATGCTGCAGATCCGGGAACCACCCTTTGAAAATCACAACATTAGAGCTTCTCTCTCTCTCTCTCTCTCTCTCTCTCTCTCTCTCTCTCTCTCTCTCTCTCTCTTTCTCCCTTCCTCCCTCTCTCTCTCTTCACCACTAAAAATGTATCTATCCTCTTCATTGACTATAAATTCAAAGCCATAGGTTTCACCCAGAAATCCCTGGAATTCCTTCTAGACATCTCTCTCACACAGAAGGCCATAGAGTCAAACCATTAGGCCATCAGGCCTTGACTACACCTGAAGTGTCAAACATCACCGCGTCATGAGCTTACCTAGCTTTGGCTGATATGTTACACCATCTCATGCCCATCCTTCAGGGTCTTTAAATGTTGTTAGCCCCATAAGGCCTCCCCAGATCTCCACAGCACTTCCTGTGATTGCTAGTGGGGATCGTATCTTCCAGCAGTAAACTGGGTTCTTTTGAGGTGCAGGGGTGGAGTGGAGGTGGGGGGAGTAACTTGCCTATTTACATGTGCTTGTGTGGCTCAGCTAATCTCCAGCATACAGCTGACACTTTCACTGACAGAGTGAAAGAATGGAGGAAGGAGCCTCCCCAGGAAGGGCACGGAACTGTCCAGTAATGGAAACTGGAACCCTGTGCCCGCCAAGCCTGATGACCAACAGTAACAGGTGTTTCCATTTCCACTTCTGTGATTCATTCTGCATAGCTGCGCACGCACATAGCGTAAGCACACACAGTCTCCCGGAATACAACGCCAGGCACGCAGACGTACAGCCAGTGTCCTGGGCGCCTGGGAGACACACCTCAGCGACAACCTGGATTCACAAAAGGGAGGCCCTGCCACCTAAAATAGTAATGTCTCACTGCAACCAAAACAAGCAATGGTTCCTGCTTGTTTTCCTTGCTCCCTGGCGCACCTTTCTCTTTAGTCCTAAAGAAAGCCATTGAGGTGACCCCCCCGCCCGGCCCGCCCAGTCCTCCCCATACACACGCACCCCTCCCCCACAGCTTCTTTCGGCCACGGCGCGTCTCCGAAGCCTGGATGAATGGGAACCAGGGGGCCCTCTTTGTCGCTAATCCTCCCCTCCTTTGAGCAAACCCAGCTTCTTCCGGGTCAGCGACAATCACCACCAACCACCCAGTCGGGCCCGCTGTCCCCTGCACCACGGCCAGGCTCGCACAGGGTCCGGTAGCCCGCGGGGGCAGGTTGCGGGAGCAGAAAAGGGCGGGGACGAGGGCGGGCGCCGAGGGAGCGGGGGGAGGGAGCTGGGAGGGGAGCGATCGCAGAAGGAGGGAGCAGCCTCGGGCGGCTGGAGTCGAGGATGGGAGTGCGGGGCGAGCGCGCTGCGCCCAGGGTCACGGCCGCGGCGGAGTCTGCGGGGCGCGAAGCCAGCGCCCGGCGCTTTTAAAGCCCGGATCGCGGCGCGCTCCAGGCGCGGGCGGCGGCCGGATGGAGAGGAAGGGCTTGGCGGCCCGAGCCTCGGGGAACCCTAGCCCGCCCGCGCTGGGTGAGGGACCGCGGCCCGTGCCGCCACCGTGCGTCCCGAGCGGCGGAGGAGCCCCGGAGCGGAGCCAGGCTGGAGCGGCGGCCGAGCCCGCGGAGCTTATCCGGCGCGCGCACGAGTTCAAGAGCCAAGGGGCGCAGTGCTACAAGGACAAGAAATTCCGCGAAGCCATCGGCAAATACCACCGGGCGTTGCTGGAGCTGAAGGGGTTGCTGCCGCCCCCGGGGGAGCGGGAGCGGGACGCACGGCCAGCCTCCCCGGCAGGGGTGCCCAAAGCCAGCCGCCTCTCGGAGGAGCAGAGCAAGACAGTTGAAGCCATTGAGATCGACTGTTACAACAGCCTGGCAGGTAAGCCGCGCCCCGCCGCACCCCCTCCCCTCCTTCTCGGGACCTCCAGGGGCCCCGCCCGGCCACGCGTCCGGTCCCCAGCTTTCCCGACCTAGTCTCTCTGGGTCCCAGAGCGCCGTTGAGGCACACCGCGGTGCAGACTCCCTCCCGTGACAGCGGTGCTCTGGGGAGGAGACCTGGGAGGGAGGCGCTTGAGAAAAAGTGTGACTTTCAAGATGATGCCTTCCAAGGCCGTAGTCATCTCGAGTCTCTTCCCTTGCAAACATGGTAAATCTTGCCTATAAAAGACTGGGCAGACAGGGGGCGACCCAGCGGATCTGTCAGCAACTGCTACTGCTCACTTGAGCTCAAAATGAAGAGATAGCACCCAGGTGTGCCCCACAAGCCATGGGTTCTAAGGACAGCCCATGCACCTGTCTGTCCCACTCCAGTGTCACTGGCTCCAAAGTTGACCTGTGTCTTCCCTTAAGTAAGCATCCAGGTGGAAACAGGCCTTCCCCTCAAGTTCTCCTGCCCCAGTAGGAAAGAGAATTTTTTTTCAGGTTGTCCTCAGCATCCTGAGTAAAATGGATTCCAAAATGCCACTTTCTTCTCTCAGGGTCTTGCTGGTTGTTCCAGCAGTCTCAAGGCTCTGAGTCCATGGTTGGTCCTTAGCCCCACTGAATTCTTAGCCTCCTGACTATGGCTCTTTTGTTCGGCTGAAGGTGTATGTTCCACGGTGTGCACTTTAGGGATGAGGTTAAAGTGTGTGTGTGTGTGTGTGTGTGTGTTATAGAAAACTTAAAGTCTGTTAAAAAAAAAAAAAAGGAAAACTCTGAGGCTTTTGAAGGACTTCCTGTGAAGTGTGGCAAACAGTGTCTAAACCACCCTCTCCTCTTCACCCACCCAGTGTGTAGGGTTTTGGGCATAGTCAAACTTCTCTGTTAGAAAAGAAGGTGTTTCTTCATTTCTAACCTTGGAAGGTGCTTGAACTAACTATGGCCTGTTAGGGGCCAGGTAATGGGGGGGGTGTGATGGATATATCTGGAGGTTGAAAGACTGCAACCTATGGTCCATTCAGAAATGTAGATCTGCTGTGCTCCCTTTGGGCACTGAGCACCAGCCCCCCTCTGCCTTCACATTCTGCCATGTTTGAGGTCATCTTTCAGCAAGTGCTCTACCCCTGTGCTACCACGCCCCCACCAGGGGTCATCTTTACTAGGTGAAACGCAGCCTGGGAAGACACTGTATACATTGTAAAGTAGCTTACAAATGTAAAGAATTAATACCAAGGGCAGTTACAAAGATGGTGACATTGGTCCTAGTATTGCAAATAATGGCACCAGAGAAAATAATGGCACAGAAGGATGGAATATGTGAATCCATAAAAGGATACTTGACTCCTCTGGGTTCCTGTAAGTATTTGGCTGCTGCCCTGATGAACAGTTAAAGGGTAGAGCCTGTGTGGGTGGAGGAAGAGGCACTCTGGCTGGCTAATGCAGTGATTTTGGAGTGGTAATGGAGCCTGCTTCCAGTATTATCCGTGGGTACTCTAGGACTACATTTACTCCATGGTTCTGGCTACCAGCCCATAAGTAGCTAGGACTGCCTGCCATCCGCCCCACAAATGGCTACATTTCCATGGTGAAACCCAAAGTATGTCCTTGGTCAGGCCTGCCCAGTCAGAGAAGGACGGAGGCGTGGTCAATCTCCGATTCTGCCCCCACCACACAAACACTTGGGAAAACTTCACCGGTGACAAAGTGGAAATAAACCCAGAGGACTTTCCCTCCTGCTGCCTGCTCTGGGGCTCATCACTTATGAATATTAATAATGTGGCATATGTGTTGTTAGGTACCTTGTGTGCACTTTTGCTTTTTTTGAGACATGGTTCACTCTGTAGCCCTGACTGGCCTGGAACTATGTAGACCAAGCCAGACTCGAACTCAGATATTCACCTCAGAGCACTGAGATTAAGGGCATGCATTACCATGTCCAGCTTATACTAATCTCTTTATTTTTTTTTTTTAAAAAAAAGTATAAGAAATCTGAAAGAAATATGGCCATTCACCTCACAGAGGAGTGTCCCAAGACTCCAAAGCCATCTGTCTCCAAAGGCAATGCCCTGCCCATCACAGCTTGATGCAGAAAATCAGCATCATCTGGACCACTTCTGCTACCAGATACCCAGACTCAGATGAGCTCTCAAACCCCACATTTCAAAATTCTTTGGGGAGCCCGCAGCTGTGGTAATCAGGAAGAAAAAACATACAGTACCTTGATTCAAGGCTCTGAGAGGACCGCCTGATGCCTTTAGGTCTCACATAGCAGTGTGAGAGGTGACCAGCTGGTCAGTTCTGACAAAGTTAAAGTCCACACCCTGTGTGGAATATTCAGCATGTGACAGGAAGGCTCCACACAGAAATCACTTTGGTGACAAGTTTGACATTGCTGTCCTTTGGGTCGATAGGTGAAATCAGTTACTAGTCTCCCAGAAGTCCCACCTAGTACCAGATCATCCTTTCTCATGGGATTATCAAAGTAGTAGATACTTATATAGATGTTTTCTTCTAGAAAACAGCAAAAACATTTAGAGACGTGCAGAATGACCTCTAAGAGAGATTCTAAAGAGATCCGTGTTTAGCCTGGTTGTGCGCACACTTTTAATCCCAGCATTCGGGAGCCAGAGGCAGGAAGATCTCTGAGTCCAAAGCCAGCCTGGTCTGTAGAGTAAATTCCAGGATAGCTAGAACCACATAGAGAAACCCTGTCTCAAAAAAACAAAAAAGTAATTTGTGTTGAATGTGTGCTTGATATGGTGGTGTTGTTGTTGTTGGTAGTGGTAAGGGTGGTGTGTGTGTGCATGTGTGTGTGTGTGTTTACAAAGCAAGAGTCCTTGTCCTCCTATATCTGCAGTCACATATCCTGATTTTAACTTACATTGTGTCAAAAGCATTTATACATGTCATTAAAATATTTCATGAAGATTATTTTAAATGCAAAATTAAAAAAAAATTAAGTGTGCCTGGAATGGGAACACATGTCTTTAATCCCAGCATTTGAGAGGCAGGGGTAGGCAGATGTCTGTAAGTTTGGGGCCAGCCTGGTCTACAGGGTGAGTTCTAGGACAGCCAAGACTACATAAAGAAACCCTGTCTCAAAAACCTTAAAAAATATATATAAGCATGCATTTTCAGTTATGTTTGGATAGACAGGAAAGAAGAAGGGCTTATGCTGTTCTAGTTAGGGCTAGCACAGTCCAACCTGGCCCGTGAGATGGCCTCTCCCCTGAGTGCTGGCTAACAGGAAAGAGGCAGGCAAGAGCAGATTCATCCTGACAGGAAAGCAGCTGACTTCCGTTGGGGTTTTGTTGACACCTGGGCAGCCTGGTGATATGGTTCTTACAGAGCTTTCTTTCCACATAGAGCTATAGGTAGAGATAGAGGCCTGGTATTGGGAAAGAACTTAGAATAGCCCAGAAATACCTAGAGAATTAGGCTGTCTTACTAAGGGCCGCTATGCTCCAAACATGAGACTGATGTGAGGCTTCTAGGGAAAACATAAGCTCATGAGCCCTCCTGCCCTATTAATGAACCCCCTCCAAATAATATCCAGGGGGCTTCTAGGAAGCAGTAGGGGGTATTAGTCTAACACCCATCTGAATGGTCCTGGGAGCCCAAGAAGGGTGTGCAGACAGTTTGCAAATGGCGCCAGGCTATTGTCCCTTCCGATCAGATTTCATTTTTTTTTTTTCAGGAGGTCTCTGGCTAGCTGTGAAAAACTAAAAGATGGGATTTTTGCATGACTCATTTTCTGGGAGATTAAAGGGAATAGTACTTTCTTCTTTCAGAATTTTGATAGACAAGACAGTCTAACCTGCCCAGGAAGACTGAGGAATCTGCACCTTACTGGCCACAGAGCAAGCATGCGCTTAACTGATGAGTGGGTCTTGTTGACCCCGAACAAGACACATGATTCTCCTGAGGCCTTGATAACTTTGAAGGGTAGAACATTCCCTCTCAGGGCTCTGGGGGCTGAGTTAAGGGTGTGGATATAAAGATGCACCCCACATTGCTTTGTTGCTGTTTTTATATTTAAATGGCAGTAGTGGGGATAGGTGCCATTGGATCCAAAGGCGAGGAACGTGTGCTCTGATTCTCCTCATGACCTGCAACAAACACCACTTTGTTCCATTGCCATTTCCTATCTATCTAGAGCTATGTTTGGGAGATTTCTTTTGTCTTACTAAAGGATAGACAGTATCAGATTGATTTCAGCTGAAGCCCCCAATATAAAAGTATGACAAGGCCTTAGGAACAGGTTCAGACCAAGAGAAATCCTGGAATAGTATCCTCTGAAACTAGCTTCATTGGTCTTAATAGACATGTCTTGAACTCATAGGTCAGGACTGGTCAAAATCTTAAGAGCTGTTGTAGTTTTTTGTCAGATTGACACGAGCCAGGATCATTTGGAAAGAGGGAACTTCAGTTAAACAAATGCCCCCCATCAGATTGGCCTATAGGCAAACCTATGGGGTGTCTTCTTTATATGACTGATGTGGGAAGGCCTAGCCCATACTGGTCCTGGGTATATAAGAAAGCAGGCTGAACAAACCACACAGAGCAAGCCGGTAAGCAACGCTCCTTCATGGCCTTCGATTCAGGTCCTGCCTCCAGATTCCTGCTTGAACTCCTGCCCTGACTTCCTTTCACAGTGGACTGTGATTAGGATGAGTTGGCCCAAATGAACCCTCTTTTGGCTTGCTTTTGGCTGCCAACCCCAAGTGGCAGTTAGTTGTGGTTCTCTGTCACAGCCATACTAAGGCCTCAGAACCTAACTAAGACAAGAACCTAGCACAGCATGGAAATATGAACCTTGTTCAAAAACAGGGAAATCATATCCCTAAAGATCCCAAAACATAAAACTCTTACCTGGGACATAACTGCAACCCAGTACTTAGAAGGCTAAAGCAAGAGAGTCATGAATTTAAGACTAGCCATCCTGGTCTACATAGTGAGTTT